CCTGCTTCAGGAAGGGGGGGGGCACTGGGCATCAAGGTGGGGAGCGGTGAACGCGCCCAGAAGGATTTGCCCCCTCCTCCCCCTTGAAATAACCTCTCTGAGTGTCTCTTTCACAGGCCCTGTGTGCTGTTTTCCTTCCTGTCCTGCCCTGGCTGAGAGCGGGCTTAATGAATGGGGCTCAGTTTAGGGTGGGAGGAAGGTCGGGAGCGGGAGCCAGGGCTTGATTCTCTTGGCAAGGGAAGAAGGGAAAGAAAAAACAGCCAAATGTGAAAATGTGGTGCCTCGGAGGTGGGGGTGGGGGTGTGCTCAAAGGCATTCCCCTCCTGAACTGCCGGGGTGACTCCAAGGCTGGCCCTTCCCTCTCGTGCGAGGAAGGGGAGTGGGCGGGTGGGAGCCCTGGGAGCAGGCCCGCTGGCTGCACTTGAAGTTCCAGCCTTGCAGCTTGGGTCTGGCCGGGGAGGCGACAGGCCCAGGCCTCCGGGACTTGCAGGGAAACATACCCCACCCCTGCAAGTTTCCTCAGTCTGGGAAAAACGGCACATTTTTAGAAGGCTGTGACTCGGTTCCAGGAGATTGTACTTTCATTTCTGACAGCCGGCTCTCTGAGACAGATGGATTGCTTGGTGCATGGTTTGGTGTGTGCGTGTGTGCGCACGCGTGTGCTGCAGACGTACAGATAGCCGATCCCGTGCACAGAACACACGAGCAGGCAGGTGCCCGCAGGCAGGCTGTGGGATGGGCCAAGGGGTAGGCGGACGGCAGGGTATGCACTCTGGGGGTCGGGGGCGGAGTGTTGGTGCATTGGGTCTGAACTGGGATCTGGCAGCGCTTAGTTAAGCTCTGGGCGGACAGTGCCTTTTCAAAGGCGTGCATCTCCAGAATAAGCCCTTGCTGCTGGAGTGTCTGTGTCCTGGCCCAGGAAGACCCACCTTTGGAGAGGTCTGCTGTTGAGGGGAAGCTTCTTCGTTCGGCTCAGTGGTGATGGGAGCGGGAAGGATTTGCCCCCGGAGCTTTCACCGTCTCCCTGGTGATCAAAAGCATGTGCTAGAAGCCGCCATGTTTGCAGCCTCCATCTGGAGTCCCCGGTGGGGCTCTCTCGTTTAGCTCGTCTGCTGTCCTGGTTTGGGCAGGATGGAGGAGCACCGTCTCGCCTGCAGATTCTGGGTTGTTCAGCCATAGACCCATCCTTCAGCCTCCTCCTGTATGTATTAATGTCTGGAGCTGGCTGGGCCTCCGCCGTCAGTGCTTCCTTGGGTTGGGACACGGATTGGAGGCCAACACTTTGTACTTCTTTAAACTTCAAGAGAGACGCCACCGTGGATTTCAAGGAAGGAGCTGGGAGGCAGTGGTGACATAGGTACTGACGTGTCTCGCGGGGCTTGTTGGGGGGAGTTGAGGGAGCCCCAACTCTTGGCTGCGTAGAGTCATGCTTATTGGAGAGACGCCGTCCCACCAGCCTAAGGGAGGCCAACTCCTTTGCAGGCTCTCCTTTGTTTAGCTTCTGGTTGCCACTTCTGGGTGATGGGAGGTCAGCAGCCACTCCGGGAACTTGTCTCTTCCTTCTCTTTGGTCCCTGCAGACGTCTTGGATTGCCTCAGAGAGACAAGAGTCTTCAAAAATATCTATCTAATCAGAAAATGTGGTTCCGGCTCCGTCCAAGTAGTAAATTTAGGCTCAAAGCAAGGAGCTTAGGAAAGTTTGCTTCATCTTGTTCATCAGATACCTGTGAACAAGTCCTTATTGTCTGGCTTGGAGTGGCGATGGGACACTGGGAATTTGGGACCCGGGTGGCTGTTGCCGTGTTTTTGTGTCACCTTCCTCTGCCTGGGAACGAGCAGCTTGTGGTTTTTGCTGAGGTCTCTAATGTTTGGGGGAGTCAGATGGACTAGCACATGTGACTGTGAGTGAGCTTCCTTACCTGCCCACTCCCTTACACCCCAGATCCAGACAGTCTGGATCTCTAGGGACTCAGCCCATATCTCCCTAAATGCCAGTGTAATGACTCGGGCCTCTGTCGGCTCACCTGCTGCACACCTACTCCCCAGTGAAGGACCGGTCCTGGACAGCAGCTCAGGTTTTTGCAATGCTCGAGGTCATGCTTCCGGCCCTGGATCAGGGCTCACTGATGAAACCCCCTTTGTCCTGGAAAGAATGAGGTCGTCAGGCAGGGGTTAAATGCAGGGAGACAGCATTTAAAGTCTCTGGAGCAAATCTGGGCTGCTCTCCTGGCCAGACTGGACGGGCTTCCGCCTCATGCATCCTGTCACTGAGGCAGAACAGGGCCTCCCAGCAAAGGGGCAGGGGGCCAGGTAAGGGCCGGGTTCTGTCCGGAGTCGCTTCTAGGTAAAGTCCAGCACATTAAATCTCACCGTTCGCCTTGGACCTTCCCTTAGCCGGGCTGTAGCCTGGTGGCCTTCTAGACCTATAGGACCTCGCTGGCAAGCTCTGAGCCAGTAGGGCAGTGAACAAGGAAGACATGCCAAAGTCATGCTCAAGTTTGACTTCCTCTGCATCTTTATTGTTGCTGTTACTACACCAAAATATTGGTCCCGCCAGTGCTGTGATTGCCTTCACCGCAGTGGCAACTTCAAAGCAGGTGCGAGCAACCCTGGCGAGAGAAAACAAGGCCCAGGGTGGGAGTGCCAGATAGATGTGCCTCCAACATCAGGAGACCCTGGGATCTTCTGAATCACAGTCCCCGCGGGTGGGGACCCAGGATCGGTATGTTTTGAAGCTCCCCGGGTGATGGCAGTGTGCCGACAAGTCGAGGAACCCCTCATGGAAGGGGAAGGAGGGGTCTGTGTCCCCGTGGGGGATCTCTGGCGGCTTCTCTTGGTGGCCGGGCAGGTTTTCTGTGATTCCCTGTCTGCTCCCGTAGTGAAGAATTTGAGCGTCTGGCTCAATGAGCCTCTTCTCAAATAAGATTTTTGCTGCATTGTAAGAACTTGACAAGGTGCATTAACTTTGCACCTTCCTCCAGTTGACTTTGCTGTTGTTAATGACCTTGTAAAAGCGACCCGTGGGACAGAGTTTCCTTTTGGGGTGATAACAGTGTTCTGGAACTAGATAGCGGTGATGGTTACACACAGCTCTGTGAATGCACTCAGTGTCACTAATGGTAAATTTTATGTTATGTGTATTTTACCACAGTTTTTAAAAGTAGTGACC